TATGCCAGACAGATTCGAAACCAGATTATCGACCGAGTGTGTTGACATGAGCGTTGGTGATCAGGCCAGCTTTCGCCAAGGTTGACTGAAGTCGACGTTACCGAACGAGAGATGGTCGGAGGCGTAGCCTCAGGATACAAAAAAAATCAAAAAAGAGAAAGGAAATAGTAGCATGCGTGTAGTATAGGAATAGTCCCAAATCGTATCCGTTGTTGGTTGTGCAGTTAGTCGCGAAAGCGTACGGGTAAGCGTACTCGGCGACCGGAACGTGAGATGGTAGTCTCGTTTGTACTTCGTGAGCCCGCAATCTAACCCAAGGTCAAGGGTGGCGTGGTCTGCTGATCTGCACGTGAGACGGAAGTCTCGTCCGTAGATGGTGCAGATGAAGCGTGCTGTTGACCGGTATGTGAGAATGAGGTCTCTGATACATCTAGCGTGAGACCTGAAGTAGATGTAAGGATCCCGCCAGTAGGTTTGATAGGTCTAGCATTGGGTCTCAAGTTATGAAGTAGGGCACTGTCATCGACGTGTGCTGGTTTAAGACAATCAATGCTGACGATCTCGACGCGGCCATTTCGATCAACCTTGAAGGTTTTTTCGTGACGAGCGATCATGTGAAAAGGTCATTCGTAAGGCTGTTGTAGAGGTTTGCGTACCGAATCTAATCGTATGAAAACATGTGATCAGGTAGATAACTCTCGAGGGAGAGCGACCTGTCGATGTTGTATTCGAGTTGACACCGGAGACAGTGTTCGCATAAATGCAGACAGTCGATGGACGTAGTCTGATTTACCGAAATCTTTGCTGCTCCGTGGTGTGAAAAATTCCTCAGGCAGACGCAATGTCGTGCCGTACACCAGTTCAGCGGCGGAGCATTGGATATCTGCCCTCAAACTCGTTCTGATACCTAAAAGAACGAGCGGTAAGGTTTCGTACGGATTGTCGTTTCCGTGTGCTCGGAGAGCACTTTTAAGTTGACAATGAAACCGTTCGACTAAACCATTTGATGCTGGATGATAGGCGGTAGTGCGTATGCGTTCCGTACCAAGCAGCCGAGTAAGTGAGGAAAATAATGAGGACTCAAATTGTTATTCCCGGTCAGTCGCGACAGTCGAGGGACAACCGAACAGTGCTATCCATCGTTCTACGAAGCGGTGAGCGACTGTCTCCGCCTTAATAGACGTGATGGGGATAGCGTCGGGCCATCTTGTAAAACTGTCGATGCACGTGAGTACGTGATCATACCCATGCGATGGTGGCAATGGTCCTACAATGTCTATATGAACGTGATTGAAGCGAGCATCAGGCGTAGCGAACGTGCCAATGGGAGCAGCTACGTGCCTGTGCACTTTTGATCGTTGACACTGTAAGCATTGCTTTACCCACATACTAACATCTTTATTCATGGGCGGCCAGACGTATCGTGCAGCGATGAGACGTAATGTGGCTGCGATACCTGGATGAGACAATTCACTTAGGGCATCGAAGACGAGACGGCGATAAGCAGAGGGTACGATGGGTCGAGGAAGACCTGTAGAAGTATCACATAGGATAGTACCTGAGCTAGTAGCTAGAGGTACTTCCTGGCACTGAAGGGACGAAGATTGTGGTGCTTCTGTACAGACAGGATCGTTTGCTTGAGCTGCGGCCATAGCAGGAAGATCAAGCACCGGTAAGGTAACTGCATTCGCTTGGATACGTGATAGAGCATCGGCAACATAGTTCGCCTCGCCTTTGATGTGACGAAGATCTGTCGTGACCTAGGAGATATAGTCCAAATGTCTGCACTCTCGTGGTGAGTAGCGGTCAGACTTGGTATGCAGGGCATACGTTAAGGGCTTGTGGTCGATGAATAAGATGAATTGGCGTCGTTCTACTGCATGCCGAAAATGTTTGATGGCACAGTAGGCTGCAAGCAGTTCGCGACCAAAAGCGCTATATCTCGTCTCCGTGGGAGTAAGACGTCGTGAGAAAAATTCGAGTGGTTGCCAACTACCGGAGATATTCTGTTGCATAACGGCTCCTATAGCAAAATCCGATGCATCAACCTCTATACTAAGCGTGGCTGATGGGTCAGGATGAGCGAGAAGTGTAACTTGAGAGAGAGCCGTTTTGATTACCGCGAAGTAAATCGGTTATTGATCATAACCGTTCTGCCGCGTGTAGGATGAAACGTCGGTAAAAGTTAACCAAACCAAGAAAAGCCTTCAGTTTCTTGAGTGAGGACGACACACTGTACTCCTTTATTGCTTGAACTTTGACCTCGCATGGCAGAATAACCTCTTGCCTGATAATGTGACCCAAAAATATTATTTCCGGTTTACCTGATTCGCACTTGTCTGGGTCGACTACTATTCCATCATCCGAAAGACGTTGGAATAATAGCGTAAGGTGTTGATAATGTTCATCTACGTTTGATGATGCGATCAGCAGGTCATCAATATAGACGTGAAAATCCAAGTCTCGTACTATGCTATCGACAAACCTTTGGAAAGTTTGAGCAGCATTCCGTAATCCAAATGGCATTCGTAGGAACTCAAACAGACCGAAAGGAGTCGTGATAGCGGTTTTCTCGATATCTTCAAGAGCGACTGGGATCTGGTGATATGCTCGTACCAGATCGATCTTAGAAAATATAGTCGTGCCCTTGAGCGATGCCGTGATGTCGTGTATGTGGGAGATGGGGTAGCTATCAAAGCGCGTAACTACGTTTAATGCTTGGTAGTCGCCGCATGGTCGCCAACTAACTTCATCCTTTTTGCGCACCAAGTGAAGAGGAGAGGCCCAAGGACTGTGAGAAGGACGAATAATACCAGTAGATAGTAAATTGTCAAACTCATGTTTAGCAAAGGCTAATTTGTCCGGTGTCAGTCGGCGTGGTCTTGCCGTGACTGGTGGTCCGCGGGTGACTACGTGTTATACTACACGGTTGGTCACCAATGGAATCTACTAGAGTGGTTTGGTTTATCTGAGGAATTTCTCGAATAAAGCGTGGAATTTATCGTCACGCGAATAAAAAGTGCCCAGGATTCGGTACGAGTACGTCAGAGTCTATTATATTAATACTATTCTTACCGTTATCCGTCATGTCGAGTATATTGTATATTAAAAATCAATATGAAAATACACGACAGACGTGGATATATAAACAACAGACTCACCGCGTTGCCTTCTTTGGAAGATTTGACCGAGGTTGAGACGTGTTCCCAGATTTGGCTCACCAACTGTAGCGTGGAGTCAAGTCGCGATTGACTATGGACACCACTACAAGAAGACTACGTTCCAATTAACCAATATGATCCCTGTAGGCCAATATCAGAAGGCAAATGATGGCTGTAGTCGAGATGTGTTTGTTGGCGATCTCGTGGTATCAAAAGAATACCGAGATCGTGCCAAAGGAGTACAAGCGTGGTTACTAAACGTAACCGAATTCGTACAAGTTCAAAGTCAACGGGGGAGTAATAACTGTCATTAGCATAATTAAACAAACGAGCACAGTAAAACAATAACTGGTACAATTGGTTATAATAATAATTGTTTTCATTAAACCAATCGCGTTCTGTTGACAAAAGTAGGTCACTACAACCTCACAGAACTCACCGGACATCGAAACCAACAGTGGTTTTACAAATAGACTGAATGTGTCCCATTTTATCCCAGTGAAAGCTTTTAGTAAGACAAAACGTTGATGAATGACTTTAAAATATGACAAAATCCTGCCGAACTTATGCTCACCTCTGTTTACCGCTTTGCAGTCCTTCAATCATCTGTTTCTTGTTTTCTCGAGAATGAGGATTATCAATAATTAATCACCTACTCATATGACGTTTAGTATGCATCGGTTTAGGACACCTAAGTAATGTACTAGAAAACTTGATATGCTGGAAGTGAGTTGTAGACATTCTTTTCGATAAATCTAAGGAGTTGAGCCACAATTTTATCATCCATAATATTATTCCTGATCATACTCAAGATTTTACACCTTTCCGTGTAATCCTCGAAAGCTTCAGAGTCTGAATGTATATTTAACTGCACAATCACCAGCTCCATTGTGACGGCAATATGGTAATTAGAGTTATTCCAACTAATGAGAGCAGATGAATAGCGACTACTGCTCGAATTTTTATTCAAATGAGAATCACCTTATATCTTCTTGATTATCACGTGCTCCTGACATTTCCTTTTCTGAGAACACCTATGATCAAGACACTTAAATTACAAGCAAAAACATACGGACCACCTAGTCAACTATGTTATTATTATATGGACACTCTGGAGCGTATCCAACGGTGAGCCACGAAATCAGTTGAGGGACTCAAATTCAAACCTTATAAAGAGCGCCTCCAATCACTTAACCTTTACTTTTTAGAGTATAGGCATCTTAGAGGTGACCTTCTGATGGATTACAGTATCTTTAACACTTCTAAACATTCACTTAAACACCTACTTAAGTTTAGCTCCAATACAAACCTAAGGGGTAACACTCAGAACCTATAAACATAACATGGCAGAACGGACTGTAGGCACAACTTCTACTCCTTAAGAGTTGTCAAATGCTGGAATTCGCTGCCGGATGAGCTAGTCCAAGCAACTTCCCAGGAGTCCTTTAAGAGGCGGCTTGATCTATTCTTAAAGACTAACGATAGTATCTTACTATGATTTACCAATTTCTTTTCTTCCCCTTTATTGTTAATATACCTAGGTTCTTGCCTGAAGGTATTGGTGACCCCCTGCTACTAGACACGGAAGCGTGTTAAGCGAAAGCTTCTTCTATTCCGTCCACAACCATTTGAACCATTTGGACATCTTTTCACATCTGACGTTAATAGTTAGGATAAATAACATCACTGTCTTATGGAGACCAAATCATTACCAGTTCTAATAACTCAATGAAGTTGAAGAGAATATTTCCAATCTTGTAGCTAATGTAAGTTCTCTTACTCCAAATTCTTACAAATCACTATTGTGAGTATGATTGTGTTGTTTAGACCAAGTACATGAATGAACTGAGTACAAGTGGTGTTTTCAAATATACATATGTTTCTTGTGGTTTGCGCGGACACCACATATTTCTTCAGTAATGGCACAAGGGTCTCCGACAGATAATGGAGCCTGGAGATGGGTTGTTGTTTTTGGTGCATTCATTTCGCACTTCATAACTTGTGGCTTTGAGAAGGGATATTCGATCATTTATGTCGAAATCATACGAGTATACGGTACAAGTGCTGCGATGGCAGCAAGTCTCGGAGGTTTCGCATCAGCAGTTCGTTTACTATTAGGTTTGTTCATAATTTGTATCATTCTTTTAGCCCCCTTGTCGGTTTCATTGAGTAATATTTATTCTGAACAGAAAGTAGTAATGGCAGGTGGGATACTAACATTTTTGGGTCTGCTCATATCAGCATTAAGTGACCATTTCGCCTTTGTTTTTATCGGATATGGAGTCATATTTGGTAAAGTCGATAAATAATTAAACTAGTTTAGGTTTCGGATTAACTCTCACATTTACACCCTCACTAATCATATGTACATATTACTTTCACGAACGCCGCGCTACCGCTCTTAGTCTTTCTCTAGCTGGATGTGGCTTTGCCACAATGATTTTGCCGTATTTTTTCTACTACTTGATTTCTCAATATGGACTTTCCGGAGCTCTGATAATGCTTTCTGCGTTCAGTTTGCATTATTGTGTTGCTGGTGCTTTATACTTCAAAAAGGACTTCGTAAAAGAGACTGCTGAATCCAAATTTGACTCCGAGAATGACAAGTTGACTTTGCGCTCACGAGTTTTTAGGTATCTCCGCCTGCTACTGAAGATCAAGATCGCATCTGGAGTATGGGTAAAGCTATTTTTATTTTCATTCATCTTGAACATGATGGGCTCAGGCCCAGTTACAACCCTATTAATCGATTATTCGAAGCAGCTAGGGGTAAGTTGAGTATCATTTCGATTCATGTGATCATTTTATGGAGGGTGAAACTTCCCATTTATAATGAATTTTGTTTTTCCTATATCTACACTAGTGTGTCCCAGCTGTTAGTCCCAATAGTAAAACTCCATTAAGTTCCACTACGCAATAGGGATACATTTTGGGTGTTTGTCCTCATTGCTGACAGTTTTTAGTTCTTTCGGTCTTTGACAATGGTAGACTGTCCGGATCATTGCTTAGAGGCATCCATCACACGTTTTCCCGATTTTTTTCCATCCTTTCAAACCATTAGGTGTAATACCATACCTACGGACACTGATTGCCAGTGGAGTTAGGCAGGGTTGCCCAATCTCACCATTCCTCTTCAACTTTGCCATCGATGACATTCTGGAAACAGCTCTGACGGATGTAAGTAATGGTGGTGTGGATCTGTTGCCTGGAGAAAGACTTCTCGACCTTGAGTATGCGGATGATATTGTCTTACTGTGCGAGAATGCCCAAGCCATGCAATCCGCACTTAATCAGTTGGCAATCAGTGTCCGTAGGTATGGTATGTGCTTTGCACCTTCGAAGTGCAAAGTACTTCTACAAGACTGGCAGGATTCTAATCCTGTACTCACTCTGGATGGTGAGCAGATAGAAGTAGTCGAGAAGTTCGTGTATCTAGGTAGCTGCATAAGTGCTGGTGGTGGCGTGAGTGATGAGATCAATGCACGTATAGTGAAAGCCAGAGCGACTTATGCCAATCTGGGCCATCTTTGGCGCCTTCGTGATGTTAGTCTGGCTGTAAAAGGTCGGATCTACAACGCGACGGTGAGAGCAGTTTTGCTCTATGCTTGTGAAACCTGGCCTCTCCGAGTTGAGGATGTTAGACGACTCTCTGTGTTCGATCATCGTTGCCTCCGAAGGATTGCTGGCATCCAGTGGCAACACCATGTCAGTAATGCAGAGGTTCGGCATCGAGTGTTCGGTCACAGAGACGATAATGAAATTGGTGTCACCATCTTGAAACACCGACTTCGGTGGCTTGGACATGTTCTACGAATGTCGTCCCAGAGAATTCCTCGTCGTGCATTATTTGCCGACTCTGGGACTGGTTGGAAAAAGCGGAGAGGTGGTCAGTATATGACATGGTGTCGTGGTATGAAAGAAAGCTGCAAAGGGCTAGCTTATGTTGGTCCTTCACGACTCCCTGGTTGGGGTCCGAGAGATGGTGTAACGCAGTGGCTAGAGACGTTATCAGATATGGCTCAGAATAGAAACCAGTGGCGATCCTGCTGTAACCTTCTTTTACTTTCTTCATAAAAAGGTGGTCGTATTCTTCCTTAACTGAAAGATCTGTTCTGATTGTACCTTTCCGTTTCCCCCACCATTGTTCTCTCTCTCTCTTCTTTTTTTTTATAATTCCCCACGTTCATTACTTTTTTTTGTTTTTTTTTCTTCTCTTTTCTCCTTCTCTTCTAATTATCACTGTTTTGTGTGGCGCATATATATTTGGTGCCCCACTGTACCAATATTTATGTGTTCAAATAAATAATAAATAATAATAAATTAGGTGTAATGAAATCTTAAGACAGTGCCGGAGTGGTGAGAGGCCATATGGTAATGTGCTAACAAAATGGTTTTCGCTTGCGTTGTAAAGTTTCACTGTTATTATGATACCTAAGATCGGTTAGTTAAACTCAATCTATGTCTTAAATGTTGAATGTGAATAAATGATTATCCCAGGACCAGATTACCAATAACTCAGCTGTTCATATCACGAAAGTTGGTGTCTAATTAAAGTGACTGAATGGAGAATCGGAACATCAGTGGTTTGCGCATCAAACTAATATTGCTGCTATACGTTTAGAACACTTGCGAAATTTCATTTGTAACGACTTCGTTCCAATAAAACTGTAAGATAACCCCACCTATATCACTGCCAAAATTGACACACTTAAACCGTCTACAGCCGTTACAGTAGACTCAATTACTACATCATTATATAATGGTTACTACGAACCTAGCGATAAAAGCTCAAGGAAAGTAGGTCATTGACCATTCAAAAGACAGAACTATTGGTCGACAAAAGGTCTGATAAAGTGATGCAGTTTCTAATGTAAATATTTGTAGGACAATTTGAAGTTTCAAACATACGGGAACATAGAATACTAACCTTCATACTTCATTTAAAATCAAAGCCGAGTAATTTTTCATATTTAGGCTTGGGTTTTGAATCCCACACATACTGATTAAGTCTATGAGAAAACCAGAGAAAGCTATACTTGAATGAAGTGCCCAATCTCTTTGGTTATTTATATATTTTTATCAGTAAAGTTATGATGTCCGTATCATCACTTTGTATTTGACAGTGTTGGAAAATAAAGCTAGCCACATCAAACGAATCACCGTCACCCACTTTAACCTACATTTTAATTTCGACTAACGTGCTTTAAAGTGTTTTTAACTCAAAATCAAACCTTCCTACTCAAAATATATATTCAACTGAGTATTTCTTTAATTCTGTGTTATCAAAGTTATAAAGCTTGATAATAAATAATTAATTCAACTCAAATCGTTTTGAAATTAGAATATAGCCAGTTGAATTGTGGTGAATTGCGAAAAATCCTGATTTTACAGTTATGTCGATGCCGATTTGATTTTTATTTGTCTTGCCTTCAGTTCAATATTTACAAAGTGGTGTCTAAGAATAACATACAGTCAGTCTCACCCAATACCATTGAGGCAACTGAGTAGAAATTTTGGTTGTCGCACAAACCAAACGTCTCAGTCCAGCACATTAACTTGTATGCGATTACTGAGTTGTATCTGAGCATTTCGTTATCTTTATGTATATTAATTTCTTAAGATTTTATCTATCTTTTTACATAATATACCGGTAGCGCACTTTGTATGTTTTTAAATTGTTGGCCAAACGGTATTTTCATGTGATAGTTGATAAACTAACTTAGTAGGTTTTCAGTAAACACAGTTGTATATGAAAACGTACTTGTGCCTGTAATCATCCAGTACATAAACGTTTGTACCCTGTACGAGTAATAATCAGGTTCAGCTAGTTTCTCACTGTGAAATCTCTGGGATTTGATTTGAAGATATCGTCTACTTATTTGTAGGATTTGTGTTAAAGTAAAAGATCATAGCTTATTATGGTTGCTGACATTATTTGCATGTGCTTGCTAAATAAACTACTCGAAGTTTATATATTCACTTGTGATATAGTGGTTACAATTTCAACCATCAGGTTGTGAGTTACAACTTTCCTCTATCTACATTAGTTTAGACATTTCGATATTGCCACCAGTCCAACACAAAAGTGTGTGACTCCAAGTCGAGGTGGTGGAGAATATTCGAAGCTCAGGTGGGTGATTTTTATGGAGTCTCGTTCTCTGAGCTGAACGGTTTGGTTGTGGAGATTTCATCGTTCTTCTGAACGACATCATCAGCACAAAATTCAGATAGAAGTGAAGTGTTCAAATTTCTCCATATGCGTTTGACAGCTTGTTCTGTACACCTTGATGTTGATTGTTTCCTATTGACCAATCAATATCGAGGTGTTCAAAACAAGCTGTCAAACGCATATGGAAAAATTTGAACACTTCACTTCTATCTGAATTTTGTGCTGATGATGTCGTTCAGAAGAACGATGGAAGCTCCACAACCAAACCGTCCAGCTCAGAGAACGAAACTCCATAAAAATCCAAGTCCAGAACATAAACCTTCACTTAAGTTACCGCAAACTAATCCAGATGAGTGAATACATGATGAAGTGCAGAGAATGTTAACAAGGAGGCATTTACCTAAGCATTTTGTTTAGCAGGATTTTAAGTTGGAGCTACTTAGTATAAAAATATTTTTGAAGGCTTGGCCAAATCAAGAAAATTTGTGAATTGCAAACGACACATATTCTGTCAATAAAATAAACTCATAGATCGTAGTTGCACTTCGATTTTTTTAGTTTTTCTGGCTACATAGAACTTGGTTAGAGTCTAATCTACATCATATGCTAAATTTCGACGCCAAAATTCTAACTAGCATCAAATTCTGAATGCAAGAAAACGATTGCTACGACACTTTCGTAAGACTGTAAAAGGATTGTAGTTTTCATAAGCGAATTTCACTCACAAGTCTACTTGCTTCCTTATAAGGAAGTATTTGTTGGTAATTTAATACTAACCATCTGGATAGTCTAAGTATTCGTCCATTAACGGTTAACTTCTTGCGAAAACTCTAGCCATAATTTCTACGGAAAGTCTAGAATTTACTTTTTGAATTCTCAAAACAATGTTATTTAAAATTCTTTTTAACTTTTAAGGTTATCGGCGCTCAGTCAGTACAATTACTTGCTATTGAAGGTACAGTACAGTTGGTGATGCGGATAGCTCTGGGATTCATTTTCGATTACCGTTTCATAAAACCTCATCGAGGTCTTATATGGACTGGGGGAATAGCATTTTCTTCCGTAATAATTATCTTCATTGCATTTGCCTCCCAATTGAAGTATTTGTCTGCTCTTATGTTTTTGCGAGGGTTATTTTTGGCTCTTTATATCTCACAGCAAGCTGTAGTTTTATCGGATTTATGTGAAGGGCAACCAGAAACAACGAGTCAAACAATTGCCATTGCACAAATCTGCAAAGGATTAGGAACGTTGATTGGATCTTACTTTTCTGGTAAGTTATTTAGTTGTACTTAATTACTTAGTTTTAGATTATCCAGGTGGTGATATAACTGAGTCATTTCATCTTACTTGGTTTCTATGAAGTTGCTAGACAAAATATTTCATACATTAAGTTGCGTATAGATTATTTAATAGTTTCTGTAATAATAATCCATTTACAATTCTAGTCTATTCAGAAATTGTTGTATAGTACATCAAAATATCAGCGTTTAAGTGCTAGTATAAAATTTTTCCATTACATAGAACAAGTCATCAGTTAGTAATTAAAAGTTATTAAGATTAACTGTTTGTGGGACATGAATTAAATTAAAGCATGTTCCTCTTAGGCCTTTGTTGGGGCACTCTGACTGGCCATTTCATGGCCAATTGTCTCTAACGGATACTCGAGGAAGACCATAATCTTCGTACGTAAAATTATAAATATATTGTTTTTCTTATTGTGGCTCCTAATTCTCTTCAACCTTGTTTATTTCGAATATAATTACGTTTCTATTCAATCGTAATGCGAGAGATCCTAACAGCAACATAATAAAATCTTATTTTTAAGAATAGTTAATCAGTAAGTTTAAATAGAGAGAACAAAGTTCCTGGTATTATGAGAATTTTAAAAGCTTGTGAAATTCGGTCCATAAAATGAGAGACTTCGTCTTGTCATTGGACTTCGTTGCTTCTTGTATTGGTCAGTCCTTATTTTGGTGAGTCGCGACGTTTCCATAACTCCTGATGATGACGTATGTTATAGTTAATATTCTGGTGAAGTTTGTTGCTATATAATCAACGCACCGACTATCTGAATGACCATGAAACATAGAAATCAAAATTAGATGAAAATTAAATGTACAAATGTGTGAATTTTGACCTTTCAAAATTATTTTTCACCAAGTACTGAGAAAAACAATTATGATTTTGTTTTGACACAAAGAATCAAGGAAACGAAATGTCCAGTAAACAATACTAGTATTGTTTACATAATGATGATGATGTTTATTGAATGAATAGTTTTCGAGACCATATTTCAAACTTATTGGTTATTGAATAGTAACCAATATCCTTTTCGCCTATTCTTTCGCACTGAACTGCTCTTATCAACCACGTTTCAGTGTGTGGCCCCTAATTCAGTGACCGTATATCGTGCTGGACTGTTTGATGGTTAATGGAAATGGATGCTTCTCTCAAGACTACTGGTGGATGCTATATAGCAAGGGGCTTTCACCTCGAACCACCTAACATTAATAAAAGGTCACTTGAAAATTCTCTCAATGAGATACGAGGGATGAAGTACTGAGAGGCAATATACTGTAGTAAGAATATCAATGAATAAAGGGTTGATTTGTTGCTATCCTTTTATCTTGTGTTCACCTATTGACAATTTACAATGACTTTATTTTTTTACACTATCAAATCAATATCATATATTGTTGATCATTTGATTAAAATTGTTTCAGCTTCTATATTTATCGACTAAAATATTCGTTTGCCATAAAAAGTCGTGCCAAAATTTCACAATTTTGGGCTTAGATTAGTCAAATTTTTATTTTTTCAAGTGTAAATAATTAGTGAGTGTTCGTCGGTATAGATTGCTGACGATTTCTAAACTAAGATAATTCATGCGTTCATTACTTCTCTGAAATAAAAGCGCTACTATTTATTGACAAATTGAAAGGAGACTACCACTCCTCGGCACGAACTGAAGTAAGCATCTATCACTGAATGTTTTATTAAATACTGTTTTCTTTCAAGTTAAATGAATAACTGTAAAGTGTCTGGCATAATTCGATCCTTGAAGTCGATAATATTTACAGTGCTTTCTTATTCAAGCAAAACAATGTTTATCTATACAGATTCCTCGAAAAATCTACATATCACTTATGATGTATAACAAGGACCTTATCTATCAAGATGGGACATCCTTAGTTGTTAGTATCTAATTATACCGAATCATGTACTCTGTTTCTAGCCCCACTATTTGTATGAAGATTACAGAAACTATTCGACATAAACAGATGAAGGGGGATTTGAATCTGTTACTTCTTTTGGAAACCGAGTGCCCTAATCACACCATCTGTGCTTCTCTGTTTTTATTTACAAATAACAGTCATTGAAACAATTTAATATGATTAATCATTTCTATGCGCTAACTTTTTTTCTTCATCAGGTCTAATCAAAGATTATACTGAAGATTATCGTCCTGCCTTTATTTTCCTTGGTATAATGCAATTCATTGGTTTTATCACAGCGATTACTTCTATTATTTTGGCGCGAATAAATTTACGCAAAGAAAAAAGTTTACTTGCTGTTGACAATTTATTATCTAATACTAGTGTTGCAAATGTTTCAGAAGTTTCATTATCACAACCAGTGTTAAATGAAAATACAACCTCAAATAATAATCAACTTAGTCCTTCTTCATCTCCTCTCTTTATCCACAAGGAGATTAATGAAACAAGTACACTTCAAAATCCTAAAATATGATTATTTTTTTGTAATAACATGTCTTCACTTCTTACACTATTCAAGTGAGTAAAATATCTACACTGTGATTATTTTTATTGAGTTTCAATAGTTAGATTTGTTGTATCATGATTAAAGATTTAAATGGGTTTTAGATATTCATCTGCTTTAGTGATAATGTCTTTTCTTTTGATTAAAATATCTACTCTTTACTTAATGGTAATTTTCTTGGCAAAGTACACTATAGAGAAGCGTATTTTTTCGAGGTATTTGAGAGAAATTTAACGGCAGTAAAAATAGTTTAAATAATCAATATTGTAATACTATCACCATCTACTTTTGTTTATCCTGGATTCCCAAGAATTCATATTAACCTATAAATGCATAGTTGATTTTTGAAGATAAATGAAGTAGTGATGAGATCATATTGATATCGGAAAATAGTGTGTAATTCCATTCTTATATATATATATATATATATATATATGTGATCAGATTGTTCGAAATGTACTGCGCTAATATATCACATAGTTCTGATCATCTTCATCTTCTCATTACACTATTGAAATTTATTAAATGGACTAATTGCTTCAAATTTCTTATATTTGAGTTTAAACTCTTTGGTGTAAAAAATAGAGCCCAACCTGAACGACTTTACCGTCTGTCATGGGTTAAATATTAACAACATAAATTGGAATACGATTTAACTAAAAAAAATTGGTATGTGGTCGATTCATCATTGACGATAAATTTAGAATCTAATTATACAGTATCCCTTAACATTTGTTAAGTGGTAGATAATAGTATGGCCTAAGTTTGCATTTTCTTCCTGATGTTGCTCTATCCATTCGAATGAAATCTGTTATGAAAATACACCCGATCAACCATAAATGAATATATGGATACCGTCACCAATTTTTATCGTGCAGCTAGGCTTGTTTATGCTCTAAAGCCTTCATTTAACTTTGTAAATAAACTGGAAGAACCAAACTTAAATACTTCTGTCATCATCATCTTGAAGAACTATATAAACTTTTTAGTTATCCTTGATATTTTATATGTATAAAATGTGCTGACCCTTATACTTCAGGAATACATACACATTCTTTGGTAATTGCTTAGTCTAACAAACTAATAATTCTTTCATATGGTGATATTCACCTTACTGAACCACCAAAAACGGAGTCATCAGTTAAACTTTTCTCAGAAACTCCGAATCTTAACTCATACATTCTAAACTGTGTAAATTTGACTTTGTCTTTATTAGTTTTGAAATTTGAAAAATTTCCATGTTGTGAATTGGAACAACATATATAAGCGAACAATATTGTTTGCAATTAGTTCCTCATTAGGCTTTACTCTAATATACAGTATTATTTATATGCATATACAGCTGTTATCACATTATCAAATTGTACTCTTTACTTACTGTGTTTATTTATGTAATCTATTCCACCGTTATCACTGAATCATAGACTGCCTTGATTGGTTTAATAACTTCGTGTATACATATAAATATTACTGTTTAATAGTTTTGATATTTGAATGATCACTGCTTAGAAACTGATGTTTTGGTTCAATGATATAGATATCAATACATCTCATTATCATCAAACCAATGAACTAAATAGTATCATAAAGCTATAACTTATTTGAACATTATACTTCTAAATCGAAATCAATTTGATGACAAAGTGTTTTACAATAAGTCTAATACCAATCATCTTTTATCAAAACCATAATTCACAGCATCATGTGAATATAGTTTTAAAAATAAATTAACTTATTCTGTCATTTTCCACTGATTTATTGAATAGTTGACTTAAATGTCTTTCATCTTAATCATTACAATTGAACTAAGTGATATTAAAGTGTTTTACAAAATTGTTTTTATCAATAAACAAGACATACTAAATTTTCAATAAATGTTACTAATGTGCCGTAGAATTTGTGAAATGTTTTAAAACGAATAAATTTAAAGCAAAAAACTAAAAATTTCATGACACTAATTTTATAAACTGTAGATATTTGATATAATAAATTACAGAATGAAATAAAACTTTTTACCTGCATCTCATAATCAACGTTCACTCTGGCACACCATTTTGAGATCCTATGATGCTTGTGTCGTTGGCGACTCATTGATAAACACAGTGTCGACGATTAATTATCTTGGTGTTACCTTTTCCTCTGATCTCTCTTGGTCTTCTCACGTTTTATTGTTATCAAAGAAGGTTTTCCGTCGGACTTACTACACTAAGAGATTGCATGCTCTTGAGATCACTCATCATTTACTTCTACAATTTGTCATTTCTTGCATATTACCTTTTATTCTTTACTGTTCTCCATTGTTCTTTCCCGGGCTTTTGAAAAAAGACTTTGCTATACTGTGGAGAGTGCTGAAGACAGCAAGTTATGTGATGAATCTTTCGAGACCATAAATAATATGGTAGTGGATAGACATCCAAAGTCATGGAAACCCCTGACAGGTGTTATTTTATCAGATACTAACCATCCCATTCACTCATATCTTACTCCTCGCCTATTTTCTGGTAGAACGAGACGTAATTACATTAAAATTCAAGCACGCAAGCAAAAGTATAAGAGTTCTATAATACCTTACCTAGCAAATATACTCTGTGACGAACAGGTTGTTAGAGTTAACCTAGTCAATAATCTGCATTCTTAACATGACTCTAATTGAAAATTTGTACAGTTTTTTCAGATTTTTTTATTAACCGTTTTTTTCTGTAGAAGAAACTTGTTGAAATATTTTTATACTGAGAATTCTATATTGTACCAAAATATAATATTGAACAAAGCCATAAATAAATAAACCCAGTACCGTTCGCTTCAAACGCCATCGCGTTATCCACTTAGCTACTGAGTCCTGATAGCCACTTGCTTGTGCAATGGGGTGAAGTTAAATTCATTTTGTATTGGTTGTTTGAATCTTCCCGTTGATATTTAGGACTTCATGAACATCAACTCTGACATGTAGGTAGATCCAACGGACGAGTCCTAAATAGGATGAAACGCGCGTCGTGGATTCCATTGCTAGCTACTATCCATCTTTGCTTATAATGCTTGTGAATTAAGGTAATATCGAGGCAATCCACACATATTTCATTAAGAGACTGATCAATCGCAGTCCTAAACATCAAGGGGAAGATTCAAACAAACAATACAAAATGAATATATCACATAATGGTTTATATGTGCTTGTTTCTCACCAATCACTTAGTTTAACTTATAAGTCCAGTACTGCGTCTGCGAGATCTACTGATACAACCTTTCCACCCAAATAGAAGTATGTGATATGTGGTTTTAACTTATAGCGTAATGATTGAAAGTGTAATAATTTAACCAGTAATCTATCGGAGTAAACAAGCTTCCACACAGTTTTGTATTACCTCTCCAAACAACACATGCTTATGGGGTTGTTTCTACACTATCAAAATTATACTGATACCTAATTAACAATCAAACTAACTTCATTCTTTTTATTTTGTTTCTATGTTTCTATAGGATGGAGTAATCATTATCAACCTAAAACAGATCTGTATATGTATATAAAAATTTTATTTCTGTTTTTGATAGACTGTTGTGTCAACTTTATAGATTATACAGCGTATTTCTTCATTTCCAAATGCTTTTCTTACACTATTACTCAACTATTTGCTTATTATCTTTTTTTATTTTCTCATACCCGGTTATCTTTAACCGATCGTACCATATGTATATATCCCTTAATTTATCGACAAATCAACCAATAAACAATCCGAGTAATTTTTCTTATGATGAACTATCGTGTAACTATTCATTTCACTGACTTTGGTTATTCTTTCAGATGTAAAATTTTACCAGATGCAGTAACTGTACTGCTAAAAAACACTAATCTATTGACAATTGGTGTCTGCTTTTTCATTAAAAGGTTAGTATATTAGGCAGCGTTTCGCTATCTATTACCTCAAGCATGTAAAATATGGACTAGCACTACGTAGAGATTATTACGTTGTCAACTTTTATCGACTGAGGTGACGATGATGTATGCTACGTACGTCTACTGAGATGCTCTTTCTTGACTAGCCTAGGAGCATCTTGTAAAGAGATTTAAAGGTGGTCACTTCGTAGTAACGATTCCAGTCTAAAAAGTCACTGAAGACCATCATGAACTGTGTTTAGAAGAGAAAGCACTCCTTGTGGTGTCAGCTAGCTAATCGTAATCTATATTTGGTAGCTTTAGGTAATATGGCTCATAATTGAGGCGCGACTGAGGTTTCGAGGGAACTGATGTTTCCGTTGAGTTTAGAAAACTTTCACAGTCAAACTTTACTACTAAGTTACGAATAATTCCTTAATTAATCCAAAATAGAATGTAACCCAAGTCTATGAGTTTCAGCCGTTCACTCCTAACCACCTGATAGTAAACAAAGTTCATTTAATATCGAATTATTTAGATTAGTGACTACACTGCAGTATAGTTAATAGAACTTCATCAATACTAGGAGTTATACGCTACGACATTGGTTATTAATCAATGATCAATTAGTTCCCATTCTCAGGTTTATAAACTTAGTTGCCATTATAAAATTTAAGTTGTCCTTATATATGCCAAAACAATTTATTTTCACTTGAAACCTGCTTTAATAATCCTTTATCGTCTAATAATGCATTAGGTGGTGTTGAAATTTTTATCCTCTTTATAACACTATTTCTCATTCTGATACTTCTTGTTATTAATTCAGCTAAACTTCGTCTGTTGTTCATATAAAATACTATCAAAAATTCTATTACACCATTTTGAATGCTTCTTTTAAATACAAGAATATTATTTTTTAGATTGACTTCGTCTCCTTATTACATTACCTAGGCATATAAAAAAGACCACTTTTTAATTTAATTTGGAATTGAGTCCTTTTCACATTGTCTCCAATTTTTAGCTATTAGTTACAACCCTCTATAAGATTAAAGCGTACTACTCATAACGACATCTCTTGGCTACGGTGTCACAAATGATGTAATTTAATTATTGCTAACTTTTGTTCTAGGGTTGCAAAAACTGAATGAGCACTTCTATCTAATGATTCTGCACTAAAATTTTACTTAAGTCATCTGTGACAGTTTTATGCATGCACGCCTAAACTAGTGTCTCTCATTTCTATTGATCAACGTTGTACCGGCAGCGTTTACAATCTTGTGTTCAGTGAATTCATTCCTGTAACCTTAAACATTTATGAAGTCACATTTTCAAAGGTAAATTTATCATATACTTTTCGAAAATATCACGTTTATTGCCAATTCTAACTCATGACAATCTACTTATTACATAGCAGTTGACTGCATTTATAAAATTTTTTTTAAAAAAAACGCCCATTTTCTTGATTGTAACCGCAACGCTTGAAAATAAACCAAAGAATTATTATTGTATAACAACAGCAGAAGCTCACTACATCTTTGAGGTGAAGTTGTAAACAATTTAGGGACGAGGATTTTCATTTTCTATGATGTCATTTTCTGAAACCGCGCAAGTTAGTTAATTGTTGCCTAAGCTTTTCAGATATCTCTGTGATGTTTTCTTCAAACGCGACGCTCAGTAAAAGAATATATTATTGTTATTGTAGATTACTTTTGAGGTTGTCTGTTCTTCTTTACGTTTCAGCCAATTGATCCGGGTACACGGTCACTTTTTAGACTTATTTATTAAGGTTTATCTAGTTTCACATTAATAATACCATTGGTCAATTCTTGGAGAGCAAGTTAATTAATGAGGGTGAACTTTGAAAGTTTGTATACTGGCTATGTGGGAAGCTATCAGTACGATATTCTCTGAATAGGATGTAAGTTAGTCATATGACGATCTAATGACGACTCTACTACGATACCAGTAATCTGTTTATAACACTCGTTATTCAACCCAAATGGCACGTTAAGTGTATCGTAGATGTTATTTACTCGAGTATTACTCAATCCCTCCTATTTGAAGTAGACGTTGTCGGTATTTTCCAGAACTACTGTGTTAGCTCAGTGAACGCGACACTACCGAAAGCATACAAATTAGTTACAAGTTTTATCTATCATTTCATAATAGTCCGTTAACTACAGATTTCTTGTTCGCATTTGTAAGACAAATGTCTTCGTTTGCGCACTGAATTTTATTAATTTTGATACACCATAGTCCAGTATTCTAATTGTATAGTCACGTGAGTTACGATTCTAAGTGGTATAAAGTACGTTTAACCAATCACCTAACTTACTTACTTGGTAGGAGGTTTAATAAAGTGGGAAATTCTGTAGTCTGTCGATCGATCATGTAAAAATAAACACTGTTACTGGCTTAAAAGTTACGATAACAAGTCAAATTACTTTAGTTCTCTATGTATGTTTAAAAAACAGCTATCTTTTTTAAACAAAATACGCTTTAGCTAGAAAATTTCTAATATTTATTTATATTAGTGCAATACGCATGTGTACCTAGTTCATTTCCCGAGTATTTGATTTATTGTATAACCCAAGGAAGTCTTTAGAATATGTAACGATCGTAAATAATACAAGTCCACCGTTCATCAAAGTCAGGTGTATTAATATAAATATCTAATTTCACTGTTATTCGATCAACAAACAAACGTACAAGATTGATGTTAAATATTTAATTGAATATGATACACAAATTATGATGCACGGTGTCTAAATGCTGATACTGAAGCACATACAAGCCTGGCTGCTATCAAGATAATTCGAAGAGTAAGAAAGGAAGTTTATATGGTTAATTAAATACAATTTTGTGCACTGAAACGTATCCATACATGTTCATCCCTTATAAAACTGTCTTTCAGTGGATAATTGAGAGAAACTACTTAATAATTATCTCCAGACTTTCAAAGGAGGAATTCCTAACACAACAACCTTATTTCTACATGATTTGTCGAGTTACTCTGCAGAATAAATAGCAATCCCTTCAGCGTCCATTTTAGTTCTTTGCTTGTTCTAAATAAAAAGTAATAAACATTATGTTGAAAAAACTGGCGTATTTTCAACACGCACTTTTCATTTAGCACTCCTGTTAGGACCATTGCATAAATTATTTATAAGCATTACACCTAAAGAAAATTTCCTTGATACCGTTCGAAGCCAGAATTATTGAGTTACAGTCTTAGTTTGAATATCAACACTGAGTTGCAGGTATTTATTATCTAATCAGTTCAAATGAGCAACGTGTATTTTATTGCAAGTTACTATCCAAAATTACTGCTATTTTGTAGTTTTTAGAGCTCAAATAGTTTCCAGGTTTTCCATGGTGGTCTAGCTTCAATTGACTCATGATTTCAACCATTGAAATTACTAATATCTCCACAAAACCCCCTCTGATAATAATCGTCTGCTCACTAGTGACTGACTTCACGAGGCATTTCCTGGAGTTCTAGTGAGAAGCCGTGACCAGTGGAGTTCAACCAGGTCTGTTGTGAGATATCAGCTCACTGAAGAAAATGGTGTACGATGGTATAATTTCGTGGATTGGTTGAAGTTAGACATTAATACCGTTAGATGCCGGCTCAGTGGTCTAATGGTTCAGTGCTCGCGCGCGTGACTGATGGGTTCTGGGTTAGGATCTTGCGGGGGGCGGGGTCGTGGAAGCGCGCTACTGAAAAGTCCATGGTGGTCTAGCTTCAATTAACTCATATTTTCAACCATTGATATTTGTGATATACCAATGAGTAAAAAAGTTAGATTTTCTGACGTTTCGTGACTTAGTGTAAGCCACTTCGTCAGAGGATAAATAAGCAGATCAAAATTAATCCAAGTTTGAATAGTACCATGGAACAACACAAGAATATTATATGATCAATCAAAAAACATGTTTGGACAAATCAAATATTACAAATATATTATTTATTTATAAGAATATTATGTTTAATACAGTTGGTTTTTAACTCTTTACCAAGTTGATCACACAGCATAGGCTTATTTTATTATCTTTAGTTGTGTGTGAAAAACCTGATCATAGAAATGATGGAATAACAGAAACTATATAGATGTGAAATTTGATAAGTAAATCACACTAAATCAATTTTTGATATATTACTTTCTAGATAAACCTACTCTTCACTTCTACTCTTTTTATAAAGATCAATTCATTAATGTTATTTGTACATCTATCCCATAAACAATAAATTATACATATTCTTGGGCTTGATCTTACCGTAAACCCTTTCTGTTTTATTTATATTTATATACTTAAGATTTATTTGATTATGAAAGGAATTTGAGATTATTATTATTATTATTACTGTTAAATTGAAAAATTCTGGATATTTTTTTTTAGTAAAGTAAGGAGAAGACGGAGTTGATCTGAAAATTGTGCCATACATTTCGAACAATCTAATCATACACATACATATTGAGATGTTTACAAAAACGAATGAATGTCAATTAAACAAAAGTCCATATAAATACAGTGCTAATCGTAAATAAATGAGTTTAAAAAGCTGATATCATATGTGAAAATAAAACAGGAAGTTGTAACACCACCCTACGTTGCACAATGGTTCAGAGATTGCCAGGTCAGATTCGAGGTTCCGACAAATTGTTTCTATACATACAAAAGGGAGTTTGGAATTCCGAATAGCCAATGTATATACAAACCGAAAAATTCAATTTCAATAATTCCTATACAATGTTTGTTTTTCAGTTGTGTTGATTTCAGCCCTATGATGCGTTCGGACTATTTGTTTTGATATTGATGAACATAGTTTTCTACTTTTTATGTTCATCGCAATATCACTAAGATTTGTAAAAGTATGAGTTGTTTTTATAAAGTTAGTGTGTGGTTAGAAGACTTAGAACATGTGAAATGAAAATAACTTTACTAAACTCTGTATAACTGGTTGTTCTTAGTTTAATCAACTATTGAAGCTCATGGTCGCGTCCACTAGTGGGATGGTCATTGAGCACGGCTTGTGTTCTACACTAGTTCAAACCATTGACTTAAATAAGAACTGAATAAATCTTGACAAACAACCATCAGGGAATATTTAATCAGGTACTTACTTACTTACGCCTGTTACTTCAAGTGGATCATAGGCCAGTGACCAGCATTCTCCAATACACTCTGTCCTCGGTCTTTTTTCTAGTTCTATCCAATTCTTGTTCATTTTTCTCATGTCTGTCTCGACGTAAAGTGTTCTTTGGTCTTCCTCTTATCTGTTGGCCTTGAGGATTCCGTGAGAGGGCTTGTCTTGTGACGCAGATCGGTGCTTTCCTCAATGTGTGTCCTATCCACTTCCAGCGCTTCTTCCTGATTTCTTCTTCCACTGGAATCTGGTTTATTCTATCCCACAGTAGGCTATTGTTGATAGTGTCTGGCCAACGGATCCAAAGTATTTTGCGTAGACAACCGTTAATAAACACCTGTATCTTCTGGATGATGGCTTTGTCAGTTTTCCAGGTTTCTGCTCCTTACAGTAGAACTGCTTTGACATTTGTATTGAAAACCCTGACCTTGGTGTTGATTGCCAATTGTTTAGAGTTGCAGAAGTTCTTCAGTTGTATATATGCTGCTCTTGCTTTGCCAATCCGTGCCTTCATGTCTGCATTAGATCCACCGTGTTCATCAATGATACTGCCCAAATATGTAAAGATTTTTACATCTTCCAAATCTTCTCTGTCAATTGTGATTGGATTGGTGCATGCTGTGTTGTATCGGAGAATCTTACTTTTCCCTTTGTGTATATTGAGATCTACTGCTGATAAGGCTGATGCTGCCCTAGTTGTCTTCTCCTGCATTTGTTGTTGCGTTTGTGATAGAAGAGCAAGGTCATCTGCGAAATCTAAATCGTCCAACTGCATTCTAGATGTCTACTGTATCCCATGCTTCCCTTCAAATGTTGACGTCTTCATGATCCAGTCGATCACCAGGAGAAAGAGAAAGAGTGAGAATAAGCAACCTTGCCTGTCACCGGTCTTTTCCTCGGACGAGTCTGTCAGTTGTCCTTCATGCACGATTTTGCAGTTTAATCCATCATAGGAATCCCGTATGATGTTGACTATGTTCTCTGGCACTGCGAGGTGTCGAAGAAGCCTCCATAGTGTTGTCCTGTTCACGCTGTCAAATGCTTTTTCGTAGTAGAGTGATGAATTACATTCAATTGATTGTGCCACAACGATCTTTAGTGTTGCGATTTGGCCGATAAATGATCAATCCCTGCAGAATCCAGCTCGTTTGTCTCGAAGTTGAGCGTCTACGGAGTCCCTTATTCTGTTTAACAACACCCTGTTGAAGACTTTTCCCGGTATTGAGAAAAGAGTGATTTCCTTCGTAGTTATCACACTTGGTTAGATTGCCTTTCTTTGGTATCTTGATCA